ATTCGATGTAGAGTTTTATATGCACGTGATTTAAAAGCCTCATATCGGGATTTATAATCACATGGATTACAAGTTTAAACAAAAATTTGACAAAAAAAGTGCGATTTATATATATATATATATATATTGGATTTCCTCTTTTTTACTTTCTGACTACTCTCATCCCTGCTAAAAGCAACTATTTTTGTTCATTTTTTACTGTGGCAACCCTAAAAATTGCATCAGCATCTTATTTTAGTTACACAATTAAACATTTTATTGTTAAGGCTTTTATTATTAAAGCTTTTAAACATAAGGCTTTTAAGTTTTTGTTATTACTGAAAATATTTATTTTTGACTTGGGTTACTTTAAAGAATTATTTTTGAATTAACTTTTTTCTGATTTTAAAAAAGTTAAAATAGAAAAAAATATTAAGTTTTTAAAAAGTTAATGCTTGGGGCCTCTTTAATCTCAACCAAACTCAACAGTCAAAGTGGAGCAAACGGAGGGGAAGATTCTTTTTGTGCGTTTAATCCTCTCTGTTTTATTTTCACAAAGAAACTGATATTAGATATTTAGAGAGGTATCTTTCAAAACATGCAAAATACAAATTAAAAAAATTATAATATAAATAATATATAAAGAATTAAAAAAATTAATAGTATTTTAGATTCTCTTTCTCTCTCTCCTTTTGGGGGAATTATTCAAATGCCATTGTGAAATCCGAATGTTATGAAAAGCAATTTATATTATATATTTGTTTGTTTTTAGGTGTTTGATGAATATATTTGTTTGTACAATTTGCATTAAGATAATTTTTCAGAAATATCCAAATCCATTTTCTTGCTTAAACAAATTACACATTAAATTGCCTATCTTAAATTACTAACCACATAATTTTATTGCTTTACATGTATAAAAAAGAAAGGCATGGATATTTTAAAAGTGCTATCTCTCTTAATGTAATAAAGTAATATCTTTATTTCTCTTCTTTTTTGAAAGATAGAGTGCTATTGAGTGATTCTCTGTCATCAAAAGTTTGTTCTTATAATAAGACTTTAAAAAAATCGGAATTTTATTTAAAACCCAAGATTGCGAACGAAGAAATTAAGAAATTTTTTACTAGGAAATTTCTTTTAAGAAATTTTTTTCTTAAACATAGAAGTAAGCAGTGAGAAAAAATTAAAAAATTTTGAAAAAATTAAATGCTGGAATTCTATATTATTTAAATGTACGTTTGATATAGTTTTTACTGAACCTACTTAATTGACTCCATAATTTTATTATGATTCATCTTACAAAATTGTAATAATAAAATGCATTATAAGTTTTTACCTATTAACTTTTATCTTGTAGGCCTCAGCAGTGAGCTTATTGAGGTCATAACCCTTATGATGGAGCCTGATTACTCTAAAAGATTGACAGCTGATAATGTATTAGCCATTGAAACTGTTGACAAAGTATGTTTTGTATTATTTCACATGAAACGTTTATTTATGTATATGTATATCTAAAAAATTTTTTAAATCTCTTAAATATGGTACTTTATTTTATAGATATACAAAAAAAGACGAAAAGTATATAAATCCCCATCATCAGTAAGTATATTGCATTATAACACATTGAATTATTAAGTCAATCATTGTTTTTATTATTTTTTTTAAAAGTACTCACCTTAAATTTTTGAGAAGTATATTAAAAGTATTTTTCATTTGTTTGTTAATGATATATCTTCTTTTATCCTCATTTAGCTTGAAAATGTTCCTAAAGTTAATCCAAAAAGTTTCAGGTCATCTTCGGAATGGAGTTCTAACTTATCTGATGGTACATTTTAAAATTTATTTATTTTCTTTACTAGTACATGTTCTTATTAATTGCTTCTTATATTTGTATGTATAATCTATATTGTAAAAACCGGATTTTTCTGGATAATGGGTATTTAAGATAAGCAAAGATAAAAACATCCTTATTCTATAAAAAAATAACAAATATATGATAATTAATGTCAATTTCAACCAACAGTGAATAAATCCGGGTGTTTGCACGGCAGCTGTTCAGATTTCTACATTGTTTTTAAAATCTCGGTATTTTTATAAGTTGTGACCCCCAAATTCTGAATCACCTATTTCAGCTAGTAATCATTTCTCGATCCACTAGATTAGCAACTATTCCACAGTGCATCCTCATGGTTTTAACGATCCTTTTTTTTTTGTAATTATTAAAACGAATTTTTACTTGGTTTTTAAAATTTCAATGTTTTAATATAATACTATTTCGCTTGCCAAACTTCTAATCTTGCATTTCGCACTCAATTATTGAGGATTCACTCGCAATCCCGCATGAATTTAGGATCGCATTTTCGTTAGTTAATGCAGCCAATTATCATAGGTTTTTAATTCTCGATTATCATACACATGAAATTTCAAATTGCACATTTGTAGAATTACTTTTTGAAACACTCTGTTTGTGACAATTTTATCGTCCCCGTAGTTTTGTCGATCGCATTTCAACACTTTGAGATTTGCTCATAGTTTAAATCATATTTTAAATTTTAAAATTATTTTTAATATAATATTACGATTCGCAAATTCTGAAGCATCCTTTTGAATAGTCACTTAATGACCCACTTTCGTTGTGGCGATCTCGTCTTAAATTTTTCCAGAATGGGAAATTTTTTTGCACTTTCAAATTAACTGAGTGATTCTTAGCGGTAATAATTGTTCTATGCGAGACATGAGGAAAAAATATGGGTTTTTTTTCGTGCTGTAGTGAAATGACGGATTTCCTTTCTATGATATCCAAATTTTTTTATGTAATAGCAGAAATCAGATTAAAATTGAACAAAAAAATTTTTGATAAGAATTATTAAGAAGTGGAAATTAGCCCAACAGCTTAAATTTCGCATCCCTGCATACTTTTTAACAACTCCCAAGTGTAAAAAAATCAATAATTAATTAAATGTTTTTGAAAAAGGAAGAGTTTTGATTGTTAAAAAGTGTCCGGAAAAGAGAATCATCCGATAACCGGATATCTGGATATGAGACTTTGTACTGATATATACATATATATCACAAAGTCAGTTGGGTGAGTTAGGCAGACAGGCAAAGGATTTTTAGAGAACATATCAAATTTTATTTAACCATTATTTATTATGTCATAATTATTTAAATGTGCTATTTGAAACTCGCATGTCGTAATATTATCATAATATAAGTACAAGATTTTTCATAATCGCATAGAAAAGTGTAGAAATAACTGCCTTTAAGAAATTTTAAAAAAACGATCATTTATAATTACTATAAAAGCGGCACAATTAAAGCAAGTTAAAAAGTGATTACTCTAATTTGAAATTTGCTCATCATAATATCGAGTTAAGAATTTTTTTTAAAATTTTTTTTTAATTTTTTATACATGGAATTTTGTAGCAATAACCGTGGAAAAGCATTTGAGAAATAACAGAAATTTACAATATAATCTGTGCAAATTGAGCGCAACAAAAAAATTATGACTGAAATGTGCGATTCAAAACTTTAGACTTTTTCCAAAAAAATTATAGTGTTCAGAAGTTCTTGGGACTGTACATCATAAATTGACTGGTTAAATCTAAGAGGTCACTAAGTCCTCCATGTTTCTAAACAAATCAATACTTCTTAGAAAACTTAATTAAAAATTGATAGTTCTCTGGTTCAGGCCAAAATTTCGATTTGTGGATGATTAAACGGGTTCGCCCTACGAATGGGCTGTGATGAGAGTGTGACTGAAGTCATATTCTTAGATATTGATGGTGCCACTGAAAAACAAGAAACATATCCTCTGCCTTTAATTCGTTTGGTTTCACCTAGCATGCTTTCTGATATAGACAAGTGGCATTAGAAACAACAACAGGTTTAGCATTTATGTAACAAAATTTTATTCTTAGGATTACAAATTATTATTTTAAAAAAAACTGCAAACCATTTTGGTATTTTTTATTTCATATATTTTGATTTAAAAATTAATTCTTTTTTTTTCTTTTCTTGTTGCTCTAATTTCTAAATAGATGTGTTTGACCAGAGTACAAATGGTAGCTTTGGTTCTTTGCATGGTCCATTCAGTGAGAAAAGGCTTGAACTAGACTTATTATTCAATGAACACTCTAATTCCAGTTTAGATTTTTCCAGGTAAACATCACCCTAAGCAGTTATTTAATATTTATTTATTTTTCTGGAAATGCATATATATCTGATATTTTGTTAAAAAAAAAAAAGGTTTATATTGTACTAATTTATTATACATTCATGTAATGTCTTTCTATTTATTTTTTACAAGCAAGCAATAAATTCTTTTTTTTTAAAAAAAAAAAAAACATATTTGGTTTAATACTATATCTTTATTACAAAATATTGATATAGTTTCTTTTAAACATTTCAGAAAGTAGCACCAGTATGTTTACTTTATTTGGGTAAATTAATAAGAGACTGACTCTCTCTCTATATATATATATCTATATAAATTTTTGGAATTAGGATTAGTTGCTATGGTATTCACTAAGCATTTTCTATTAAATTCATTTCTTAGATCTCGCCTAGGTATGTCCACTCCTTGTAGCTTTCGTTATTGGGATGCAAAACTCCATGATACATCTGGATCACCCTGCTTGTCTGAATCAAAGAAAAAAGAGTATGTAATCTGACTTTAGATTTCTTTATTGTACCAATTGTTTTACAATTACTAATTATTGTACTAATTGATAATCTAATAATTAAATTAACACTTCTGCTACAAAGGGTTTGGAGTTCTGAAGTTGAAATATAACTTCATAGCTGTCTTGATTTTCCTGATAAAAAATGATTTTCTCCTTATTTGACCTGATTTTTAACTTTTCGTCTTCATATTCCTTATATTTGTGTGTGTTCTGGACATCCCAGTTGATTATTTAATCTCTAAGGGTCTTTTTATTTAAGTTTATAGTGTTGAAATAATCAAAATGAATAGCAAAATTTGAGAATTCCAATTTAGGAACCGGTTACTGATTATAAATATCAGGATTCTTGCTGTCCTAAAATGTCCTAAAAAAGTGCTAAAATTTTTTCCCAACTTTTTTAGGGCCTAAAAAGTGCTAAAATTTCTTCTGAGTGCTAAAAAAGTGCTAAATATTTTTTATTTTGGCGTTTTGAAATTTTTTTTGAGTGATCGGTTTCCCTAAATCCTTAAATTCTGTTGCCTTCAGCTCTCCTGCTGCCTCCATCTTTTTAAAAGATTCTTGGGCTTTGGGGAAAGAAGTTCTTTCTTCTGAGATTTTATGGGCTTTAAAAGTTGTAGAAAGCTAATGCTCCTACAATTCTTCCAAAGACACTGGAAAATTATTTAGTACAATGTTTCCAGACAGTTCAATAGCACGTCATTTCACCTGCAGTGAATCTGAGTGTGCATATCTCTGTCATTTTGGACTTGCACCTCATTTTAGCATGCTACTTCTGAAGTGCATTGATAATGCCAAGTTTTATACATTGCTTTTTGATGAGTCTTTGAACAAAGCGACACAGCAGAAGCAGTTGGATATATATATCCACTTTTGGAACCCAGTAAAGAACATCGTAGAGACGCGATACTTAACATCAGCTTTTCTGGGCCATTCTGTAGCAGATGACCTTTTACCCTGTTTTTATGCATCAGTCAAAAATGTAGACCTTAAGAAATTATTGCAGATTTCTATGGACGGTCCTGCTGTCAATTGGAAGTTTTATAATAATATTCAAGAAGATTTGTTAAAAGAACATGGTGTTCAATGCAATGCAATGCAATAGGAAGTTGTGGGCTTCATATTTTAAATAACGCATTCTACAAAGGTGAATCTGAAACAGAATAGCTCATTGGTTCCATCCTGAGCTCAATCTTCTATCTTTTTAAAGATTCACCCACAAGAAAAGAAGATTTTATTAATCAATCAACTGAGAACAAATTACCACTAAAATTTTGTAACCACCGTTGGCTGGAAAATGCACCTGCAGCTGAAAGAGCAATATTGCTTTGGAATGATCTGAATTCTTATGTGAAAAATGTTGGCAAGTTTAGAACAGTGAAATGTAAATCCTTTTTAACTTTACAAGAAGCAATAAAAGACAAATTAATTCTTGTTAAGCTGAACTTTTTCTTAAATGTGTCGGAGCTAGTTTCACCTTTTTTGAAACTGTATCAAGCAGATCGGCCACTTTTACCATTTTTTGCTGCAGATATCCAGGATTTGGTATTACATAGTGTGCAATTATATTACATTCTGAAGCCAGAATCTACAGAAAACTTAAATTCTCTGGAGAAACTGTGCCATTTTAATTTTTGTGATGAAAAGAATTATGTCTCTCTGACAAAAATCAGTGTAGGTTTTAAAGGTGACCAAATTTTAAAGCAGTTGGCCTCAAAAGTTATTTCTGATCGGGATCATATTAATATAAAGAAAGATTGCAGAAAGTTTATCACCAAAATGTTAGAAACTTTACTAGAGAAATGTCCAATAAACTATTCTGTTGTTAGAAATGTTGCTTGCATCAATCCAAAATTAATGTCAGAAAACAAAAGCAAGTGTGTTCTAAAAATGAGAAACATATTAAATTACTTAAGTCAAAAATAGAAAATTGAGGAAAAAGATTGTGACAAAATTAAGCTGCAATTTGCATCATGTATAGATTAATTATGTAATTTTTATTTCATGAATCGTGAAACACTTTATTTGTATTTTTTTAATATCATGTATAGATTAAGTATGTTATTTTTACTTTACATCAAGTGCTAATTTTTTTTTCTTAGTCCTAAAAAAGTCCTAATTTTTTTGAAATAATTGAGCAAGAACCCTGAATATGGTTCTGTCATATAACCTCTCCCACAGGTTTCATTGTTTAAAATTGTTTTGGGAAGTTAAGTCATTTTATGAAAAAGAAACTCTGTTAAATATTTTGCATGATCAAATTTTTACGATGATGAATTTAAAGGTCATATGATTTTATTATTGTTATTATTATATTTAGCAAATATAAAAACTCTTGTGGGATGGAGCTATGTAGTTTCACAATTATTAATTTGTTTCTTTCATCTGATTTAAAAAAAAATTTCATAATATATGTATAATATTATTATTATAGAATTTTTGAATAGTAAATTGATCTTGATCAATTACAAATTGTGGTACAGTGAAACCTGCCAAGTTGGGCATCTGCATAAGTTGACCTCAATTATCGTGAACGGAATTTTTCCTATATAATATAAAGAAGCAAAACCTTTGTAACTTGACCATCTGTCTATCTTGTATGTTGACCACTGAAATAAGTCAATTTTGTCTAGGAGTATTATGAAATTCTATTCCAAAACCCTCATAAGTTGACCAGAAAAAAAATTCAGAACATTTTCTGTCATTTTGGCAATGTATGTTAAAATTTCACTTGTTTGGTGAAATAGTGTAAAAAACTAATCTAAACACTTTTGTGAGTTGACCATCAGGGGAAACTGTAAGGGGTCAGCTTTTGACCATTTCTTTCATCCGTTCATTGAAAACAGGTGTGCTAGTTAAAAATTTGCTCTTCCAGTTGCAATAGTGAGCATTTGAATAAATGAAATCTCTGAAATGTGCTTTGATCCTTTATTTATGGTCTTTGATCTTTAAGTGTAGTAAATAAATTTTTAAGTGTTCAAATAATTTTATTTTGTTAAAGTTTTCAAATTACATGTTTTCGTGTTCTGATATTTTAAGAAATTATATTTATTAAGCACTTCACATGCATAACTAACGAACTAATTTTTTAAAAAAAAATTTAGTTAAATATTAGAATTATATGTATCAAATTGAACTTCATTCAGGTTTAAACACATTTCTTAAGATATTCATTTGCATATTTTCTGAATAAAATTTTTAAGTCAAGTAAAAAAAAATTTTAATATATAGCAACATAATACAGGAAGCGAAAAAGTAAACAATGACCCACCACCTCTATAAGTTGACCACTTGTCTAAGTTGACCACTAAAACAATGGACCACAAGTGGTCAACTTACACAAGTTTTACTGTATTAGGGAATATTAAATAATTCATACTGATAATTTTTTGATGCAATGCTACTATAAAATTTTTCCATGTATGGATTTAAAACTATTATAAGTTATTCTGTATTGATAATATTATATTAGAAACTGTAAAAAATTTTCATCCTAAACAAATAATTCTGAAATTTAAAATAGTAATTTTATTCTTCTGTGGTAAAATTTGTTGTTGTTTTACACTTAAGTAGAGCAATGTTTACTGTTCCAAAAAATGTCCTGATTTTTTTATTTTTTGAAAAATGCTAGCCAAGCTTGTATGTTTGATGATTCGACATCATCATGGTAATGGATCCTGAAAGGCTGTTCTAACTTGTCAATTGTTAACAACCATTCTTTCCATTTTATGTCGAGTTAAATATAGCCTGCCAAACACGAATTCCCTGAAAATGACACATTCTATATTTTTTACAAATAAATATTTGGATTATTTCGTATTTAACATAACGACAGGCACACGAAGCCATGTTTAATGAAATAATTATCATAAGCAAACTAATAATGCAACAAAGTTGCCAGTTACACCAAACAAAATAATCACGGTTATAGCAAAATACAAACAAAAATTAAATATAGATTAATTGAAAAATTTTTACAAGAAGGAATTATTTTAACAAATTCAATATATGATATGGCATTGTATTTAATTAACTTCACATTATTAAAATTTTGACTTTAGTGGATAAATGTAGCTCAACCTTAGCAATCTTGCTTATAAACAACCAGCTGACACTGAGGTCATAGGTCAGGATAGAGTTGAGAATATTCCATTTGTAATTATAAAAGCTAATTTTAAGTCATAAATATCTGTGCCTCTTAAAATTTAATCTTATCTTTATATAAACATATACACAAGAACATTTTCATTTGCCCTTAATTTATAAATTTTTTTTTTTTAATATAGTAATTTTTGATTGGTCTCTATATAATTTGAGTTATTTTAATTATTGTTTTATAAGGTTATGCCACTGTGATAATCAGTTTTGTTTTTATTTACGATTATTTAAGTTTAATACTATGGTATAATTCCTGTTTTTTTTTTCATTAAAATTTTATTAGACTATCTCCTAGTGAAAACATCAGTCCCCCTTTCGCTAAAAGTCCACGTTTGCAATTATTTCCTGACTCTGACTCAGAAGGGGAATCTGAACAGAACATGAGCTTCCCATCCAAAAATTTAATGAGGGTAAGTACAGTCTACTTTTATTTCAAGCAGACGTGCCAACTCTCCCGCATTTTGCGGGAGTCTCCCGAATTTTGAGTTATTCTCCCGCCCTCCGGAATTGATTTGAAAAACTCCCGAATTTTACTGCGATCGACGGCCAAACTCAAAATTACCTAATTTTTCCGCGAGTGCGAAGGTAAGTTTTTCTTTCAGCTTGAATTCCATCCCCTCTTATCAAACTACCATCTGCCTGAAGCGTAGCTGAACATGCTTTATTTTCCCCCCTCTTCAACGTTACCTCTAAAAACACTCCTATTTCACCCGCCCCCTTACACTGGGGGCGGGTGAAATCTTCCTCTTCTTTCGTGTGGAGTTGAATGCAATGACGTCACATGTCGTTATCGAGTGACGTCCGTTCAGGAGTGGGGAAACTCGTACTCTCGATAGTTGGAATTGATATTGTATCTTGCTGTTTTTATAGTTTTTAATGCGTATTTTTCCACGGTTGGCAACAAGCTCGTAAACTAGCAACGTGATATCAATTATTCGTTTAGTCTTCGTATATTTAAAAAAAAAAAATTTCAAGGATGTCTTAAGTCGAAACGGAAGTATGGATCAATTTCAACAAATCATGTACCAATGACTTTAGCAAGACTTAATTGCGGAGAGCTAAGTCTGCAACTCTTTTTTTCATGCATACAGTAGAGAACCATTTATCTGGTATCCAGATAATCCGGAAAAAAAATTTGCTCGGTTCTCCCGCCATTTTGAACTAAAACGATATGAAAAAAAAAGCGGAAACTGGACTAATCCTTGAAGTTGAGTAGAGGAAAATGTGAGGAAGGGAAGAATTTTTTTCCCCGTTTACCCAGAGAAACGTCATTTCTTCCGCGACCTTGAAGATTTTAGATCTTTATTCTCTTTTAGGTCGTTAAACTCAAAGGAGTGGCATGATGATTTCGTTTGCTAGTTTGATTTACGAGGGGGTGGGGAAAATGCATTGCACATGCATATCAGTGAACAGAAGATGAAAGAGAAAAATATATTTATCTATTTGACATCGATTAATAAAAATAAAATGTTTTTCTTTTGAATAAATTCTGATTCTTTGGAAGTGCGGTATCATTCGCAAGTTTTTCTTGATGTGGAATCACACCTGCTTTAATTAAAAATCGCGTTTTTATAAAAAAAAAAAAAAAGGAGAATTGTTTATTAATTTAAGCATACAATTATTTTATGAAGCAGATTGCAGTTTCGTTTTTCTGATTCCACTACGTTTTTTTTTTCTTTTTCATGATAAATTTTGCACTCAATAAAATTATTTGTATTACCAAATTTTTTCATTAGTTTTTTTTTTTTTTTAAGTCCGTTGATCTTGCCTTGTTCTAGGTTTTAATATTTATGCTAGTGCCGTTTTTTAACTATCGTTTCGGTTCGATAATTTTCAAGTGTTGTTTTTATTTAGATTAATAGGTTTTCCTTTTATTTTCGCCCCCCCCCCCATGAAATATATTGCGTTATTTAATCATTGGTTTTGTTTATTAGTTGATTTAGGAATCGTAATTATTTTTTAAACTTGTTTTTCTTGTCTAAACTTGCAAATTTTTTTATTCTTTTAAATTTTATTTTTCTACAATTTTTTTCCTTTTTAGATTTAGGAGTGCTTTTCTTTTTTCTCTTACTTTAAAATGTGTTTACATTTTTTCCTTGTAATTTGGGTTTGATAAAACATCGATTAACGACACTTTTTTGTCGATCCAGGAAACCGGGAAATTAAGACATCCGGGATAGCGATGGTCCCGAGCATCCCGGATAATTGGTTCTTTATTGTACAGACATTAGTATTGAATTGGTTTTTTAAAATAAAATACTTATTCAATTTGTTTATTTTTTAAAAGTTTTTGTGTATTTTTATTACAGTGTCGGGTTTTTGAATAATGTTTTATTAAGGAAATGGTATTTATTTAAAGAGTATCTACCTAATATAGTTTTGTGTTGCTAAATCTGTGTTTAATTATTTTATTTCCATTTAATATTTTTAAACAATTATTGCTCTATTAGTGTGTAAAATTTCTTGCATTCTTATATTTAATAAATTTTTTACTTAAAATTCCTTAGAAGTGCCAAATGTTGCATACCATGCACCTTTTTTTACCCCTCCTGAAATCTCCTGAATTCTTGTTAGGGAAACTCCTGAATGTTAATTTTGCTAGGTTGGCACGTCTGTTCAAGTTAAATGTGTTACCCAAACTGAAAAATATTTATTCTTTGTTTAAATAAAAGAAGGAAAAAAACTTTTATGATTGTTTTTGAATATAGTAAATGTAATACAGTTTATGTTTTTATTCTAATAGAACTTAAGTAAAAATGTTAGCTTTTTTTGGCACACATAATTTGCCTATTTCAAATGCATCTTTTTGTTTTGCAGCAAAAAAATTATTAAACATAGATCCTATAAATATCGAAGGAGTGTAGAGAAATGTTTTAATGATACAAATAACATTCAATGATAAGTATGAGAATTAACTGTTAAATGTGTTGTAAAAAATGCCATGTGGGTTGCTCCACAGCCTACAGATATGCATTGACATAGTTAAAATTTGAGGTACTAAATGAGTCATTTTAATTTTTGTTCTTAATACAAGGTTTTTTTTCCTTCAAAATTTCAGTTTTTAATACTTTTTTGGCGAATTTTTTTTTCACTTTTTTTTTGCTTTAAATACTGGATTTTTCCATTGTATGAAATTTTAGTTATTTTTCTCAAACTCTATTTTATAAGCTCCCTCCTAAAATTTTCTTTTATTTATAATTAAATGTTTCCCAAACAGAATTATTTATTCTTTGTTCTAATAAAAGCGCGGGGGGGGGGGGGAAAGGGGGGGGGGGGGGGGGGGAGGATTTCGAGACTCCCTAATGATATCCTTGTTTCTAAATGAAATTTTCATTGCACCTTAAGTTTATCATAATTTTATTTTCTTTGTTTTACCTTTTTAGGTTTTCAGTTCACTAACCCCACCTGAACGTTCCTGAATTATTTACAGTGTTGTTAGATTATTCTTTGTTTTGAACTACCAAAAAATATGTAAATATTGTAATTAGTTATAATAAACCTATTTTCAATGTTCATTCTTTCTTGAGCTTGTTAAATATTTCTTCTGCATTAAAGCTTTTCATATCAAGTGATGTAGTTTGAAATTGTTTTTTTATTCGAACTTCTTTTAATGTACTGGAATTTTTATGATTGGTTGCATAAAATATTAAGTTGGTATCTGATGCTTAAGTACCTTCTGGCCTACAGTTTAAAAGTACATTTTGCAAACCACTTATTGTTAAATAATTTTTCTTATCCGAAAAGCATCCTAAAATTTTTATTGGGGACCAAGGTTATCATTTTTCAATCAACATATTTCTTTTATGGTTATATATAAAAAATTTCGCATTTGCTGATTACTGTCATTTTTTAATAGTATGGTGCATAGCGTTTTTAAAAAGTGCTTCAAGGTGCTTATTTTCGATTTTCTTTTTTTAAAAGCCCTTAAAGGTTCTATTTTCATTGGGTTTTTTTAAAAAGTGCTTAATTTTTCCTTTTCTAAAAGGAGGTTTTTTTCTTTACCATGTTGATTTTTGACGCGTATTATGCAAAAGCGTGCTTTTAACATTGTGCTGTTCAACGTTTTCGCAATTCATTCGACCACAATCCATTTCAGCGTGCAGTCTGTCCATAACGTATGAAAGCGCTAATAATTTTACAAGTTTGATGAAATACTTGCGAGTCTGTATGTGCGTCTGCGGAGCTGAGTTCGGTGAGATTATTGCCTTCTCTTGTGTTACTCTGCTGCATTTCGTAAGATATTCTCAATTTCAGGCTTCATTTTCCACCCTCTGATATTGAACCGAAAAATCTCTTTATCTTTTTATAAAAGACTAATATAATCAAGAAATGAGTTATTTGTCAGAAACTGGATATTTTATCATGATCATGTAAAGTCTTAGAAAATTATTTTGCATTTTGTGTATATTGCTTAAAAATATTTTTGAGTGCTTAAAAAGTACTTAAAAGGTGCTTATTTTCTGTTGGAAGATTTGGCTACGCACCCTGAATAATATTTAACCATCTTTTTAAAAAAGTAATATAAATGGGAAACAATAAAAAAACATGATTTTTTTTTGTTTCCATTTAGAAAACTTCTCATTTAGGCTATACCTTTAAAATCTTTCAAAGTTATATATTTTGCTATCATAATTCATTTGTAATGAATCCAATATTATCTTTATTATTACTTCGGGTATTACTTCACAAAGTTTTTAAAAGCATATTCAAGAACACTGTGTTACCTTTTCAATTTATATTTTTAGAAGAGAAATATTTTTTTATTATTATTAAATAATTGAATAGGTAAAGCAGTGCTTTTTTGAACATCCTTTTAAAAATATTAGTTCCATTTTATTTATTTTTTTAATTTTCCTTAGACACTGGTCAGTTTATAATTAAGATTCAAACAGTCCTTAAAAAATTTAAAAAGAGGTACAATAATAAGATTTATTTTTAAAAAATTGTGTTTACTACTTGGCTTTGTGTTTCGAATAAATATATGTGTCTACTAGTTACAAAATCTCTAGTTTCATGTATCTAATTTTTAAGTGAAACTAATGGATGATGATTTCAATAAATAAATAAGCATAAATAAAATGATTTTTATTTTTTTTTAAAAAAACACATTCTAATTGGTTTTGAACTAAAAAGTAAAGAATAAAAATTTGTGTGTTACTTACAAGATAGATTACAAGTTGATAGTCTTGGTTAATTTTTAGGTATAATGTATTTATAATGCTGTATCCTAAAATGTATTGCAAGAATTTCTTATAAAATTTTTAAAGAAAAAAGATTAAAAGTCAGTTTTTGAATAACAGTATAATAACTAATCCAAATAAACCACTAACTTTTTATTGGTTTTCTTTAAAAAATTTATAAAAAATTCTTGCAAAGCAAACTTAATATAAAATTAGCATAATGCCTCAAAATTAACTGAAGTTAAATCAACTCGATTCTTTAAAGTAGCAATGCCAAATTTTATTTATTACTTTTTCGTGCAGACCCATAGAAAAATTGTTGTTTCTTGCAAAATTCTTAATTACTTTATTTCATACTTTTTCGGATTCTTTAAATGTCTGCAAAAAGTTACACCATATCCCCCCCCCCCCAGGAACGCATTTTAAAAGCACAACTAAACAAAATAACCATAGTAGCAAATAACTTAAATGCTAGTTTTGTGAACTACGTGCCCATTCATATCAAAATAATTAGACTTTAAAGAACATTTTCTAAGAACCCAGGAGTTTCATATTTCTGGGTTCCAATTTAAAATGTGTATTCTTAACCTCTTTATCCATCTATTATTAACATTTATAATATTATTGCATCTATTGAGACAAAACAAAGAATTTCAAATTAAGCAGTGTATGCTTAAACTACCAAGGCTTTTTTTAATACTGATCAAACACCTGCATCTAAGAAAAGCAATACTTTCCGCTATTTATATTTAGATGAACGAAATTTCTTTTAATCTATAAAGTTTTATTTAAGTTTTACCTGCATAAATCTTATTACAGGGTCCCAGAGAATGCATCCTTATTTTTGTTCCTTCTACTCTTTTTGATGTAATTGTTCTAAAGCTTTTTAATTGCAAGATAATATTTGCTCCATAGCATATTTTCACTGAAATATTTATTTTTTTAAATTAAATTAATTAATGACACATCTTGATGTGACCTCCACTTGAATGAAATGCCAGCAGAAACAACAAATGGACAACAGTCAATAAGTTAATACAGGCTAGCCAAATAGCGTGAGTGTAGACCAAATGCAATAACGCACAAACTTCAACTAAGAGAATAATACAGGGCTTTTTGCTATAGAAATCACCCTCCCTAAAGAAATTCATAACCTTTTATTACAATTATTTGACCCAAGCTCAAAAGGTCGTGAGTTCGATCCCCCCCCCCGGTGAAGACTCCCTGTTTACGAAATGGTGCACACTAAATCTGTCAACCTCGCAAAGTTCTTCAAGTTCCTATTACAAATCAATACCTCTGGGGGTACTGGAAAGAAGATTAATCGTGCTCTAGTTCAGGTCAAAATTACAATAGCGGATAGATGGATGGTGTGTGAATGTTCTTCCTGTAAAACCTGATGTGAGAAGTCAAATTCTTGGCCATATATGGCACCACTGGAAAACAAGAAGAAACTCACCCCTCTGCCTTAAAATAGGCTTGTTAGTATAAACAAGTGGCATTAGACAACAACTTTTTATATTTATAAGAACCTCACTATTTTTAATTGATGATCTTTTTCTCTAAATAATTCAAACATTTAAAAAAACATATTTTACAAGAACATTTTTAAAAACTTCTTTTTTACAAAAATTGTACAGTAGCATCAGCTTGTGAGCAATAGAATGTTTGCTGATAAACTGTCAACGTGATATCAGAAAGTAACCAATCAGAATAGTTTTTATCTAATTTTTCATTGTGCAGTGAACTCGTATTTACTCCAGGAGAAATGTTTTTAGGTTTTTCACATCCAGATAGTTTACCTGGATACAATTTCTTTTCCCAAAATGGCTTCTTTGATTCTTTCCTCAAACGTTTCTCCTTGGCTCGCCGATTTTGAAACCAAACCTAAAAAATAATTTAAAATAATAAGGATTAAGTTGAATCATTGGGTTCACGTGCGTTCTAAAATGTCAGGACATCCGCTAACCACGTGATAGATGGTTCACTTCATCTAAAAGCTTTGAAAAAAAATAATTTTAAGCATATTATAGTAGTATTGTTCGAAATAATGACCAGACCGTCATTTTGTACAGTACGCAAAAAAATAAACGGACCACCTTGAAAAAGTCATATATTTTAAATTCATTTGATTTCTTAAGAATTATTCCACTGAGTTCACTCTTATTTTATATATTACCATTTGAAATTACATTCTTTAAAATGATGCAACAAAATGTATATTCTATAATTCAAATTTTTTTTACTATTTTTAAATAAAATTATATGAAAATAACATTCAATAAAAGTTATATTTTGCATGAAATTGTCTTTGGATAAACAAATTTAATGATTGTGTGCAAAAATCAGGGATGTGATTCTTCCGCGGATTCGTGTATTTTCGCTTTTTCTTCAGATTTTCCCCACTAACTTCAGCGGAAATTTTGTTTTGCACAATTTAAAATATTTTATGAGGAATTTAATTTTCCGCGAAACGAAAGTATTGAAGACCTTATTCCTCCCTCGGAAGTTTCTCTAAAAATCATTTCCTTGGGATAAAACTGGTTGACCTTTATTACAGGGATGAGTTTTTCCGCTTTTGTCTCTCAATATCAGCCTTTTTATCAAAAACTCCGATTCTCTAAAAGTATCAGGGTTTTTTTTTAAATGTAAATATCCCGCTTTTTTTTTTTTTTTTTTTTTTTTTTTTTTTTTTTTTTTTTTTTTTTTTTTTTNTATTTACGATTTTCAAAGATAAACAGAAAATTCAAACTACGCCCTAGCTGCTAACCCTTCCGCATTTTTATTTTAGCTATTTTCTCCGATTTTACGCACTGAAAATAAGATTTTCCGTATTTTTATCTGTCCGCCGGATAGCTCGTATTTTCGTAATGCAGGCGTAGCTGCTTCCTGTTTCCTGGCGTTAAAGCAAACGGAAAAAAAAAGTAGAGGTGGATTTTGCGGTGAAAATATTTATTTGCTCATTCAATTAATCTAGTAAATTTTTATTTATTTTGTCTAAACAAAACAAACAAGCCTTTTAGATATAAAGCCTTTAAATATCTCAATTCTTATTCACGCGATTTTAATATCATCGATTTTCGTATTTACCTGATTTAAAAGTTGCTCATTACGATTCTCATTTACGCTATTTAAATATCGTACGTTATGATTTTTATTTCCGAGATTTAAAAGTTCAATATCGCGTTTCGGATTTATGCATTTTTAAAATCGCGATTTTATTATCAAACATGAATTTTCGTATTTACCTGATTTAAAAGTTGAACGTTGTGATTCTTATTCAGGCGATTTAAATATCGTATATTGTGATTCTTTTTTACTAGATTTAAAAATCCAATATCGCGATTTGTATTTTTCGCTCTTTTAATACCCTATGTAGCGATTCGTATTCACGCGAGCTTTAAATCCGATGTCGTGATTCGTTTTTGCGGCTGTTATATCAAACATCGATTTTCGTATTGATGCGTGCTTTAAAAATTAGACATTGGGATTCGTATTCGCGCGATTTAAAAATTAGGCATCGGGATTCGTATTTACGTGATTTAAAAATTACTCATCATGATTCGTATTTTAGCATATTTTAAATTCGATATAGAGTTTCATATTCTCGTGAATTGAAAGCCATCATATCGGGATTCATATTCATATAATTTTAAAATTAATCATCGGGATTTATAATCACATGGTTTACAAGTTTAAAAATCGCACTTTTTTTTGTCAAATTTTTGGATATAATATATAGATATATTCATTCTTGTATTTCCTTTTTTTTACTTTCTGACTGCTCTCATCCCTGAAAAATGTTTCAATTTGCTAAAATGTTCTCGAGATACGATGAAATGAGCTCTCCTGACCTAACTATGGGGACCATATATATTGGGGCTGAGAAATCCGAATCCAGAAGAAAAAAAAAAGATATGTTTATTCAAGGAAAGTTCGTTTTTGTGTCTTATTTCGTAACTTTAAATATCGTGCGCACTAATTAATTTACATATCTCAGATCACCGCTCTCTTTGAATGTGAAGATCCAATCATTAGATCAAAAGTTATTCAGGGTGATCCGTTCTTTATTTTGCGCACTGTACATATTTAACTTTAAAATCATTAACTAATTAAATATATGATAAATCGATTATTAAAAAGATAATGACTTAATAAATTATTTTATTTTCACATTCTAAGGAAGAAATTAACAATTTTAAATTGAGAGTACAATTCGATTTTAAGTAATTTTATTCATCAGTTTTCTTAAATAACAATTTGTAAAGAATCCAATATTTTCTGATCCACATTTTGCCAGATATCCACTGCTGATTTCACTTACGACGCAATACTAGATAGAAAGTGCGTGTAGAATTTCTAAAATTGGGACAGGGGCAATGAAGAGAGATTGGATTTTGCAAACTGAGAGGAGAAGAGTGGAATGTGGTGCTCAACAGCTTGTTTCACTCGTGAATGCTTAGCCTCTATATTTAAATTTTGAACTGAAATCATACGGCTTAGATTTTATTTTTAACTAAAGTGGTAGCTAACATAAGAAAATTTCTGTGGTAGGTAAGTAGGTATTTAATTTACGTCACACTAGAGCTGCACGATGGGCAATTGGCGACTCTCTGGGAAACATCCCTGAGGATTCTCCGAAGACGTGCCAGCGCAATTTTGATCCTCTGCAGAGGGGGTGGCACTCCCGCTTCGGTAGCCTAACAATCTGCGTGCGAACTCGAGCACTTTACGGTAGAACAGTTTAACGAGGACCAATACCGCGCACCCTCGTTCCCATGATAGTTAACATTCCAACACGTGTGTGTTGTTGTTGTTCATTTACGTCACACTAGAGCTGCACAATGGGCTATTGGCGACGGTCTGGGAAACATCCCTGAGGATGATCCGAAGACATGCCATCACAATTTTGATCCTCTGCAGAGGGGAGGGCACCCCCGCTTCGGTAGCCCGACGACCTGCACGCGAAGTCGAGCACTTTACGGTAGATCAGTTTAACGAGGACCAATGCCGCACACCCTCGGTCCTTACGCAGACTGACCGCAGCCAGTGATACTTGACTTCGGTGATCTGCTGGGAACCGTGTCTTAAAATTTTTCTACTTCTTCCTTCATTTAAAAACGAAGTATTACTTTATCATCATTTGAATTTTTCTCGTCTAAAACGAGAGTAAAATTTTTTACTTAACTCAAGTAACAAGCAACTTTTGAAAATATCCATCATGAGTGCAAATCTTTGTTCACAAATTTTAGCGAGAGTTTAAACCAAATTGTGGCTGGCATAGGGTTGCTTCTCAGCAGATTAGGCGATGAAACAGTTGCCAAATAGAACCGAGGTGAGTGGAAGTGCCCAGGAGTCGACAATAGGGAAAATCGCATACCGCGAACCCTCGGTCCCTACGCAAGTTGAACAAAGTGGTCTCCCACCCGCTTACTGACCGCAGCCAGTGATGCTTGACTTCGGTATTCTACGGGGAACTGTGTCTTTACAATCAGTCCACTGCGGGACAAATTTCTGTGGAGTTACACGTTTAAGTTTCTTTGAAAAATCAACTTCATCTTGAAATTCTTTTATATCTGTCCTTGTCTCTGGAAATTTCGTTTTAATGAAGGTAGAAATGATAAACATAAGTAAATTTTGGTGACGTTATTTTGAAAAATCAGCTTAATCTTACCTGAACTACCCTCATATCTAACCCTGTCTCTGTGGATAGTTGTTCTCGTACAAAACGACTGGGTTTGGCACTCCTTTTGTAGGCTTGTTTCAGAGTTTCAAGTTGTGTTGGCGATATAGTTGTTCGGGGACGTTTGCTGGCACCTGTGCTGAAACAGGAATACTTATTTATTTAAAGTGTTTGCCGAAAATATTTTAATAAAGAACATATTGTAGGTAGCATTTGAAATTCGAAGTTTATTGTAAAACTAGAATTTAAAGTTTGCCAACAATTTTAAATTAAACCAATTTTTTTTTCTTTCTCAATTTACAATTGAGGAAAACAGAATTAATTTAAATTTTGCTAGCGTATTCAAGTTGTAAGTTCTATAGGCGATCACAACGCTCGAATACGCTATCTGAGGAGAAGAAGGGTTGCATGCCTTTGGCCCTTCCCTCTCCTCCTCTTTTCAGTTGTATAGGAATGTACTACGATATTTTTTCCTTTTCTTAATATTTTTTACTTAATAAAAATATTTTTCTAAATTTGCATGATGCTTTCTTTTAGAACTATGCTTAATGTGGTTTTCAGATCCAAGTTTAATAACTTAAAAGATTTTAATCTATATGAAAATCAAGACAGAATTATTTAATAGGAACTCTAAAACGAATTCTTGGTAGGAGTGGTAGGAAATTTGAGTAATGCGAAAAGCCTTTTTATCAATAATACGGATTTTTAAACTACATATTAAGAGTGACCATTACAGTTCACCTTGTATACATGAATAACTGTTTTGAACTACAAACACTTAAACAATTCTATTAGAAATAGGCTGACAGCTGGAAAGTTATATGAAGAAAACAGAATTTTAATCTAGAGTGAGAGTGGAATCAAATATTAAAATATGCATTTGACTACCACTGGACTACAAAGAGGAGCAAGTTGGCATTTCTGAAGTATGAATAAATGTTAGCCGCTACATCTGTCGTATCTAAAATGACGATGAATTGAAGAATTAACTGATAAGAAGTAGTGAACTCGAGCATTACATTTCTACTAAGAAAATTGCAATTTAATCTTGTGGAGGAAGTTATTGTAATGATTTTAACTATAATGTTATTGTTAATCATTATAGCTAAAAACATTACAACAATTTCATTGAGTGCATAAGTTATAAACAAGTACATTGTTTGCCTACGGTATTAAAACAATTTTTTACACTCAGAAAATGAAAGGGCCGGCAAAATTAGTTCATTCTTAGCTTATATCCAGTATAAGCATGTATTTGTATTTATTATAGTACATGATTATCTAGCCAAAAGTATCCAGACATCCAGTCACCTCCTAGGACCTTCACACGGATTACCATGAACGAGAAATCCGATACTTCAGTAGTCCGAACGTTGTGGCATCTTTCTTATTTCATCCTCACCGCGCTGTTTGGTAGGTACTTTATTTATATCACGCAAGAGCTGCACAATGGCATAATAACAACGGTCTGTGAAACATCCCCGAGGAAGATCCGAAGACAGGGCACCACATTTTTGACCCCCTGCCGAGGAGATGGCTCCTCCTTTGATAGCCAGAAGACATGTGCGTGAACACGAGCATTTTACAGCAGAACAGTTTAATGAGAACCGATACCGCTCACCCTCGGTCCCAAAGCTGGCTGATCAAAGTGGCCACGCACCCACTAATTGACCACAGCCAGTGATGCTTGACTTCGGTGTTCTACTAGTCTTGTCTAACTTTGTCTTTACAATCAGTCCTCTGCTGAACCACTGCGCAGTTTAGAAGTCCAGACGTTGTGATATCTTTCTTATCATATCGTCCACTGCGCAGTTTATGTTCGTTACGTCGGACTACTAAATCGGACCGGGCGGAGACTTTCTCTCTTCTAGGAGGTGTTGTACGGATTGAGGGTTATATTAAAATGAAATTACTTCCCTCTTTGCATTAAGGATGACCTGTTGTCGTCAGGGAAGGCTTTCCACCCATTTTTGATGTGTGGCCATAGAAGTTGACTTCTGAGCATCCATTACAGCTGAAGTTAGACAGTTGGGATGGTCAATTTGGCTGGCTATGTAATCCGTGTTCGAATTCGTCCCAAATGTGTTCTTATGAGATTCATACCGGGACTGTGCCGGAAAAAGCTAACTCAGATTTTGAACATCTATTTTGGCAAAACCATGGCTTCGAGAGTCTCGATGTATGAGTGAAGCAGTTATTATGCTGGAAGAGGAATGAGCCATCCATGAAATATTGTCATAGAGCTGGGAGAACAGCGCCGTTTAGAATGTCTACATGCATCTCCATCCCAGAGTTCATCTTTCTGACCACAGGAAATAAGGAACCCAAGCCAAACCATGAATGCCATCCTAATCAACGACCAGATCCACTTCATTGGTTGCATGTCCGAATACTTTTGGCCAGGATACAGTATTTGTCAGTATTTCAAAACGACATATTTTTAATCGAAAAACTTACCGTTGTTCATTAAATCAGACGCTGCAACATAATCTGTTTCGCAAACAAGTGTTTTGTCCTCTAGCAGGAAAAAATGGTCACCCGTAGTTAGAAGCCTTCCGCAACAAATGCATGCAAAACAATGGGTATGGTAAACAAGATCTTGCACTTTCCGCACTGTTTCCATAGGCACAACGCCTTCGCAACAACCACTGCATTGAACGCCATACTTTCTATGAAGAAAGGAATTTCGTTAGTAAATTTTGAAACACTTTTAAAAAAAATTTATGCTAGACAGTACACAGAGTGCCCATTAAAATCTCACCTACCCTCTTAATGACTGTAGCAATAGTTATAAAAGTTATGTCTAGGTTTAGTGAAGTTATGAGCTGCAAAGATAGATAGCTTATGGCGCCACCTGGTGAAAGCCTGCGAAGTTAGTTATCCTTCCTTAAAAATGGTGCAAGATAAGGGGAAAAAGTGTATGACCAAAACTGATGCGTAATTTATTTAGCAAAAATAGGTCGGAAAATTAATAGTTACGTTAGAGTTTAGAGAGCATTATTGAATCATATATAAATATAGATCATGTATTGTTGTTGTTGTTCATTTACGTCGCACTAGAGCTGCACAATGGGCTATTGGCGACGGTCTGGGAAGCATCCGTGATTCTCAAAAAACCTAACCATATATTTAAAACAAAATATCGCAGTATTGACTTGAGATAGAAAGTTGTTTTCTTGTATACTTTTTAGACGAAATTTTCCCTGTGTGTTTCCATGAACATAAAAAGAGATTATTCATTTACTATATCCTAAAATTTTTTAAAATTACCTAAAAGTCACTCTCCTGGCCAGATTGTTTAGAATTTTTTACCCTAACATTTCAATAATTAAATTGTTGTTGTTGTTTTTAATGCCATTTTCCAATACAGGCAAGACTGTTTGGTGAAACCAAGTGAACTTAAAACAGCTGGTGCATTTCTTGTCTCTTAGAGGCGCCATGTATGAGCACGAATACGACTTTAGGCACACACGTCGCAGCCAGCTTTAGAGGGCGGACTTATTCATACATCCATTTATTCATCCATAAATCGTAGTTCTAAAATGAATCAGAGAACGATCCATTTCCAATTCAGTACTTCCAGAGGCATTGATTTATTATGAAAACTTGAAGGACTTTGTAACCCGACAGATTGAGCGTGCACTAGTCACCATCGACTACACGGCTGGTGGAGATTGAACCCACTACCTCTGGACATGGGGCCAATGCCCTATCAGCCAGGCTACCCATTTTGCTTTTATGCACAGGGTACCCAAGGAATATTGGGACAAACTTTAAGGGGAGGTAGAGGACATTACAAGGATTCAGATTTGCATAACAACTCATGCTCGGAAACGACCCCGTTTGCCAGTAGGTAGGGTTGCTCACATGAGCATTGGAGGAAACAGATCTGCATTGCAGCAGTTATTTGAGCTGTCATCACCCGTAGAGGAGTATGCAACGTTTTACGAACATTGAGCTGGGAGATATGCACATGATGTACGGATTGACAGAGGGAAATGTACGAGCTGCAGAAAGATTGCTTCGCGAAAGCTAACCATAGAAAGATGCACCGGGCAGCCGATTGTTTATCAATTTACATCACAATTTATGTGAATATGGATCAAGTAATAGGCTTAGTGAAGGCCAGCTCGCGTGACTCGAACTTTCAGCGTGGAACAAACTGTGTTGGATACTGTTCTAAGGAATCCGTGCACCAGCTTTCAAGCCATTGCTGCTGCCATAGGAGGATCTTCGAGTAGTGTTCATCATATTTTGTTTGCGAAGTAAAGGCTTACACCCAGACCATCTTCAAAATATTGTCACTGATTTCCATATATCATTCAGCGTGTGTGCATTTTCCACAGTGGTATCTCGACCAAAGTCTCCTAGACCCGCATTTCCCGTCCTACGTTTTATTTACGAATGAGGCGAACTTCACGCGAGTTGGTGTGTTCAATCACCACAATGCGCATTTATGGGCAGGAGAGAGCCGTGAGACCACACGCTGCCAACATTCGAAAATATGAGAGGACTAAGATTAAAGAAAATCCGATATAAAAAATAATTTGAAAGGAATTGTGACGTTAAATGTTAGTTGAGCAATAAAAACAAGTTTTATTTTACCTGTAGAAATGCTTTTTACAAAAAATAGCTCGGTCTTTGCTATAGCATCTGTCTGTCAGTGGTATATCGCAAACAGAGCAACGTATGCAGTCTGGATGCCACAACTCATCTTTCATTTTCATCATTGTTCGATTTAGAATTGGATTTTGACAGCCTGTACAGCATAGAACAATTTCACCTGAAAATTAGTTGAAATATGATTGTTTTAAAAATTTTATACATAGTATACATTTGAAAAGACAACCTTAAAACATAAATGAAATTTTCAGGTTTTAGCATATAATTGCATCATCAGGAGTTTGAGAAATTCCGGATCTGTAAAATTCACGGATATATAATTTTCCGAAATATGTTCGAAAAATTTACAAAAATAAATAAATATAAAAATTAAGAAATAAAAGAAAAAAATTCAAATTTTGTTTTTTAGGTAATCTCTATAACTAAGCAAGAATTTCAGCTAAAAATGATATATCTTTTTCTTTTAATTACAATTATTAAAGCCTTATTATATATTAACATATATTATCTATATATAAATATAATACAAATATGGAGATATATTATTATACACTAAATTATATCAACTGAAATTGTTATTATGCATTATTATTATGCATTAATACATATTAACCAACATTGAGAAGTATTACTATAAATATATTATCACACCTTAATACATATTAATGGAAATTGACATGTATTATTATACATTAATAGGTATTAACTCAAATTGAGATGTACCATTATACATTAATATATATTAACGGAAATTGAGATGTATTATTATGCAAAAATATAAAGTAACGGAAATTGCGATATATTATTATAAATTACATTATTATGTCTTATTGTATATTAATGAAAGAGATTATACATTAATGTTTATTATCGCAAATTGTAATATATTTTTATACATTAATATATACTAACGGAGATTGGGATGTCATATTATATTAAAGTTTACATTGACACCTTTCTCATTTATATTTTAGAGATTATTAAGTGGTAAAGCTTGAAAACACAATATTTTTCGATTTAATTTTCAATCTGTCCAATATGATTGAATTTGGTTCATAATGGTTTGTCATAGCCTCTATCTAAATAATGAATTATAAGTTGGAATTTAACAGGAAACCTCTCTCTTCTCCAGAAAATGGATAATAATAATAAACATAAATGGCTGATGTATAATGTTTTTCATTTCTAAATGCAATTTGAAGTTTAATGACCATAATTAGTCTAGATATAAGTGAGCCACAATAATTTTTTATTTAACGTTTTTCTGTAAAATTTTTTATGAGCTCAATTTTGATAATGAACATCAATAGAGCCGTGGTTGCTCAGAGGGATAGAGCACTCGCTTCCCAATGATGTAATGGTTCGAATCCCAGAGATGGCAAGTTGATGCAGATTCCACACCCAACAAGCACCGACTGCAGTGCAGTTGTAAAGTAGAATACGAATCCCCTTGTCGTAGGGTTAACCGCGGGAGGTTTCGCGTTTTTCTTCACCACGTAACGCAAATTCGGGTTGGTTCCATCAAAAAAAGTCCTCCACGAAGTAAAATTTCTTTTAATACTTGATCCAGGAATTGTCTTCTCATTTGGATTTGGCTCAAAATTACATGGCTACGACAGTAGACATTAGTAGTCGTAAACTGAAAATTAGGTTGGCTTTTCAACGACGGTTATAAAAAAAAATATAAAATTATAAATGAACACCAGGAATAGAATCTTTATAAAATTATATCTAAAAATCATAAAAAGTGATTTGATATATATTAAATCCTTTCCACGCGGTTGTCATATACTAAGTTTTACTTTAGTTTTTTTTTATAACCGTCGTTGAACAGCCGACCCAATCTGATAGGTTTACGACTACTAATGTTTAACTCCGTAGCCTTGCAATTTTGAACCTAATCCAGAAGACAAGAGAACTCCTGGATCGAGTATCGGGAGAAATTTGCCTCCGTGGAGGACTTTTTGATGGAGCTAACCCGCATTTGCGTTACATGGAGAGGAAGACCACGAGAACCTCCCACGGTTAGCCTGACGGCAAGGAAACTCTATCCCATATTCCGTCTACCACTGAGGATATTTCACTTCATTACTGTGGTCGGTGCAAGCCGCATGCGGAATTCGTATCGACTGAGATTCAAACCCGGTTCGCCTCAACCGAACGCTCTATCCCCTGAGCCATCGCTGCTCAAGTTTTACTTAAGTAATAATTTTCTTTCTTTTTAAAACGGAGGAAAGAATACTATTTAATGTCACCTATAATGAAGCAACCTTGTTTTTTTTAAACTATCGCCAGCCTTTAACTACTTGAGAAAATTTTTTTTTTAATTTACCTACGATATATATATATATANTATATATATATATATATCAGGAGGCTACCTGTTAAACCATTTTTTCGGTTGAAATTTATAGTCATTTCAGAATAATGAATTTATAGGTTTTTTTAAAAAATAAATATGGAATTTTTTTCTGGTTAAAACTTACCGTTATAAAGCATGTAGTTTTTAGTTAAAAGTTGAAGAAAATTGTCTGCCATGCCAGTCGGATATTTCTCAACATTTTAAGATGAATTTACAACTTCGTATCGATGGGGGAAAAAATCGATATTTTATGATGAACCACGCCTTTCGAAACTCGCCGCCTATCAGACGCGCTGATCGTCTTAATCACTTATCCACACAAAACAAATGCTCAGTTTCTTTCTCGTCGTTTAAGGATTAATCACTAATTTTAAATCAGCTGAATTGGTAATAGTTGAATTGTTTAATACCAGCCTTGATTCAAAGAGATCCCGGGTTTAACGAAGAAATTTTGAATAAAAAATTGGTTTTACATAATATCCTGTCAATAAGATTATTGCCCGGATTTAAAGTGGAATTTTCCCGAGATTCAACCAGAAATTAATTACAGTTTATTATAGTTGATTAACTAATTAAATTCTAAATTTTCTTTAAACCAAAAATATTTAAATACTTCAATATTTCCCAAGATCAACCTATTCGCGACAATTGAGAATTTTAGCGTTCCTTAGGATTTTAATTTGACATTTTTCAGACAAAATTAAATTGTTTTAAAAATTTATATTTTATTTTTTATAATTTTTATAGTATATGCTATAATTTATATATATATATATATATATATATAATATAATTTTCTCATATATTACAATTTATATAATTATTTTAAAAGTATTTGTAAATATATGCGAGTATTTTTGGAAAATATGCCACCTATTTTTTCGTAAGAAATTATTTTCAAATGAACCTCGTGCTTCAAAAATTCATTAAAGAAAGAAGGAAAAAAAAGGAAAAAAGAAAAATCCCAAACTGTTCACCAGAGCCGTGGTGGCTCAGGGGATAGAGCATTCTCCTTGCAATGAGGTGAACCGGGTTCAAAATCCAACGATGGATGATCGATTCGAATTCCGCATCCGACTCGCACCGACCACTGAGCTGACGTAAAATATCCTCAGTGGTAGACGGATCATAGTTTAGAGTCCCCTTCCGTCAGGCTAACCGTTGGAGTTTTTCGTAGCTTATTACCTCTCCATGTTACGCAAATGCCGTTTAGTTCCATTAAAAAAAAGTCCTCCACGAAGGTAATTTTCTCCCAATACCTGATCCAGGAATCCCCTTGTTTTCTGAGTAGGGTCCAAAATTGAAAAAGTGAGACTAAAATCACAAAAAAAGCACTTAAAATTGCAATAACTTTTGAGCAAATAGGAAATTAAGAAAATAACTAGATTGCTTTGTAGAAACTGTTCGCTAGATGACAAAAAATATCCAAACAAGCAAACTTCTCAAGGATATGTGACATCACTTCCCAACCAAGCTCCAATAATTTAGTTCATGTGGATAAAGATGCGTGAAACCTCGCATAGGAATAGGATTCTTTTGCGACCCTTCATGTTGCCTCGACCTTACACCATCTAAGTATCACTTATTTAAAACTTAGCAAAACATTTTAAATGGCAGAAAATTGAATGACAACAACAACCTTAAATCGCATTTGGTTGATTTTTGCTGATAAAAACCAGGAGTTGTATAAGTGCAGAATTATGAAGTTACAAGAAAGATGACAAAAGGTTATCGAACAAAATAAAAGATATCAGACTAAAGTTTATTTTCTGTGTAGAAAAAAATTTAGTGGCATCCCGCACTAAAAACACGAAATTACTTTCTTACCAACTCAATAGTCATTCCTATCCATTCCATGAGGTACAACGAGCCAAACACAAAAACAAAACGGAACACCCTGAATAACTTTTTATCTAAAGATCGGATCTTCACGTTCTAGGACTGAATCTTACTGGTTCAAGGTGTGAATTTATAAATGCTAATTAATTAATGTAGACAATATTTTGAGTTATGAAATCAGAAACAAAAACATATTTTCTCTGAATAAACATGTCTGCTTTTTTCCTACAAATTCCGATTTCTGACTCCCAAAAATATAATGGTTATCTGCAATCTCGGAAATATGGTACCCATAGGTTGATCAGGAGAGTGGTCCAAAGTTGGGATTCCTTAATGATAATTTTACTTTTTGCTTATTTCGGCATATCTTGAGAACTTAAGCTAAATAAAAAATGTTCGCACATAATTATAAAATTCGTTTATCCAAAGATAATTTCATGCAAAATTTAACTTTTAGTACATAATTATTATTTTTTAATATTTTATTTAATAAGAGTCGAAATAATTTTGGATTGTAAGGCATACATTTTTTTTACATAACTTTAAAGTATCAAATTTTACATGGCAAAATGCAAATTTGAGTGAAATTGATTGTACAATTCCTGAGAAATTGAATTTTAAATATACGACTTTTTCAGAATTTGATTTCTCAGAAACTATTCGACCGATTTCGCTCAAATTTTGTATATTGCAGTGCTAGTTTATACACTTTCAAATAATGTGAAAAACTGAATACCTTATATTTCAAATTGTTTTCCACTACTATTAAATAAAATAATAAATATTTACTAAAATTTATTTTTTGCATGGTACATGTTCAATTAATTTTTTGCATAATAAATATTCACTGAAATTTGTTCCTTGGCTAAACGAATTTTAAAAGGTTGTGCAAAAATTTTTCCTTTTGTTGAAAAAGTCCTCGAAAGATAGCGAAATACGCAAAAAGTAAAATTCACATAAAGGGGTCCAAACTTTGAATCGTTGTCCTGACCAAACTATGAGGACTATATTTCTCAGATTGCGGCTACTCTCTATTTCCTGAGGGTCAGAAAACCAAGTCATTTGAAAAATAAAAATGGTATGTTTAGTCAGAGAAAGTACGTTTCTGTGTCTGATTTCATAACTTAAAATATCGTCTACATTAAATAATTATTATCATAATCGAGGTCCTCTCCTCAAACCATTAAGATTGAATCTTAGCACGTGAAGATCCGATCATTAAACAAAATGTTATTCAGGATGGTCCATTTATCCTCCCGCGCAATGTACATTGTTTTAACAGTGCCAGTTACCATTAAAATTTACCATTTTACAGGATTATTTTTTTATCTCAGCTTCTGTAATTTTGATAGTTCTGTTCCCAACCTTTATTTTTCCATTATTTGTTGGCAACTTGACGTTTCTTTTCTTTTTTTTCTCTTTTTTTCAAACTATTCTCGTTTCTTAATCATTTAACATTTTACAGGGTGTTTGAAAAATACGGAAATGGTCAGGGCTCGATTAACAGATCTTTAGGCTCTGGACATAAAGCCACTTAATGGTCCATTAAAACAGGCAACAAGTTTCAATTGATATGCATGTCTTTTTCCACCTTAATATCAAAAGATAATTTTTTAGATAACAGTAATTTGTAAACACCCTTATTTAGAAATACATCATGCAGAAATTCAAAATTTAATTTAGCTCTAAACTTTTATTATGAGAAAAAAAATTAAAATTTAATTGATAGCGCAAGAGTTGCTGGTGTGAATAGTGAAAATTATGTTCGGAACAAGTACTTATCAAATTATGTTATTGAATTGCGTTATTGTGGTAGTGGTAGTATAAAAAATTACTATTTTCTTACTTAAATTTGGGAGTAAATTTTAAAAATTTGGGAGCCCCTACAAATTAAAGGTCAAACAAGCTTAAAAAAATGAAAAATATTTTCTTTTTATGCGTCAATTGGGAATTGGATGGATACTTACTAGCTGGGGTTCCTGGGCCTGACCCCCTTGATAATTTCATGTTTTAAACTCGCTAGAAAAGCACGATACAAATTAAACCGTGTTGAAACACGATTAAAATTAAAGGAGTTATTGCAACTGAAAAAATAAAACATTTTTAGCAAACACCTCTTTGGTCAGTTGGTCCACTATAACAAGGTTCCCATTGTCTGGAAATGTTTTTAATGCGGTAGCGAACGTGAGATAAATCTTGATAATTTAAGCGGTCAATAAATTTTTAATTTACGGAAATAAAGAAAAATATCTTTAAAAAAATTTCTTAATTCTCAAGTGAAAGCTCAATTAAAGCTTTTTTCAATAGCCTTGAAAAATCTTAGCAACCACTCATTTGTTTTTTCTAAGTCGTGGGAACCCTTTATAAAGAATTTTAAGCATCGCGGCTCCATATTCGTCCTGTTCCCCTGCATTGCCCTGAATCTCCATATCTCCCTTACTGATTCACCGCTTATAGGCTCCTTACTGATTCATTTTATATATTAGATTATTATTTTATAACTTTTGTTGAACAACCAACCCAATTTTGGGGTTCACGACTACTAGTGTTCAACTCCGTAGCTTTGCAAATTTGAACCCAATGCAGAAGACAAGGGAACTCTTGGATCAAGTTTTGGGAGAAATTTGCCTTCGCGGTGGACTTTTTGATGGAACTACCCCGCAATTGCGTTGTATGGAGAGAAAAAAAAAAAAGAAAACCTCCTACAGTTAGCCTGACGGTATCCTCTAAACTATGATCCGTCTACCACAGAGGATATTTTTACGTCAGCACTGTGGTCGGTGCGAGCCGGATGCGGAATTCGTATCGACCAGCCGTATATTAGATTAAAATCAAAAGAGACATAAAGTTCTCTCAGTGCAAAATAATAGTGAAGTAATAGGGGTAATAATAATCAGCAACGCATCGAACCTGCTACCTTCCGAATTCATTTGCGTAATTGTATTCTTGTATTCCGAATTCCTGTATGTTAATGGCGGTGATTTTACTTGCAATCAATTTGCCATGACGATACTTAGATATCGTATTAATGTTGATTAATTATTTACGCGTTGGAATAGTTAGTTAGTTAGTTCATTTACGTCGCACTAGAGCTGCACAATGGCCTATTGGATTAGCGACGGTCTGGGAAACATCCCTGAGGATGATCCGAAGACATGCCATCACAATTTTAATCCTCTGCAGAGGGGATGGCACCCCCGCTTCGGTAGCCAGACGACCTGCGCGCGAAGTCGAGCACTTTACGGTAGAACAGTTTAACGAGGACCAATACCGCACACCCTCGGTCCCTACGTAGACTGATACGAGTTGGAATAAAATGAACAAAGTGTGGCCATTTTTTCTAGCACGCAAGGAGTGCATCTTAAAACGAAAAAATATATAAAACATCAAGAGTAGTTTTCCAAACTTTTAAATGGTCAAAACATCCCTCTATCGAA